CTAATGACCATTTCTTTTTGCTTGATGTTTGTCAGTGTAGTCAAACAGGAGGGAGAGAGACCTTTTTGTTGCAATAATCAGGGACATTTTCAGGGTGGGCAATGGTGGCAGAGCCAGAGTACTCCACTAGGTAGTTTGTGTATTTTTATCCCTGAACAGGTGATGAATTTTCTGAGATGATCCTAAGAATTGGATGTTTTCCCCCAAATAAAGTGATTTCCTCTGATTTTTTCCTTAATCCCAGGAGTCCTGGCTTACTAAGATTATTTCTTACAGTTCTTTCAGGCTGAGCTGGAAGGTGTGAAGGACAGGCAGCAGCTGAAGTGGGGTGGTTGGCACAGTTTGGCACCTTAGTTGTAATTTAGGTCAAGGTCATCTGTGGAGGAGAATGGTACAGACTTTGTTCTTTTCACATCTAGTGGTATCCGGAAGTGCGACACCATTGTCCCAACACTCCTATCATCCTAGTGGGAACTAAACTTGATCTTAGGGATGATAAAGACACAATTGAGAAACTGAAGGAGAAGAAGCTGACTCCCATCACCTATCCACAAGGGTTAGCCATGGCTAAGGAGATTGGTATGAAATCCTGCATTTTCCTACCTGATCTGCATGTCTTTTACTCTAGTGAGAGGCTAGGGTTTAGTCTGGGGAAGTAGAGAGAATGTATTTTTCCTGCTTAGGGTTGGCTTACTTTTGGGGAACCAGCAAGGCCCTTCTAGGCCTTAGTGTTAGTTAGCCCTTGGGAGGTGGAGGTGGGGTTAGAGTTGGCTCTGCAGTGCCATGTCACATCAGCAGAAGAAGGTGCAGGGTTCCAGGGGAGCAGCCTTTTGCTGCTGTCCTGATCAGGAGAGTCGTGTCGTGCCATGCTGAGTGTACATTGCTGTGTGGCTGTGTGTCTCGTAGGTGCTGTAAAATACCTGGAGTGCTCAGCACTCACACAGCGAGGCCTCAAGACAGTGTTTGATGAAGCTATCCGAGCAGTTCTCTGCCCACCTCCTGTCAAGAAGAGGAAGAGAAAATGCCTGCTGTTGTAAATGTCCAAGTCTCTCGTTCTTGATCCTGCCCCTTGGAACCTTTGTATGCTTTGCTCAAAAACAGTGGAGCCTTTGCACTCAATGCCAAGTTTTTGTTAAAGATTAATTTTTCCATAAAACCATTTTGAACCAATCAGTAATTTTAAGGGTTTGTTTTAAGTGTATGAGTTCAAACTCACATTCTATTAAAATTTAGCCCTAAAGTGACAAGCCTTCTTAAAGCCTTATTTTTCAAAAGCCCCTATTCTTGCTCAGATTAAGAGTTGCCAAAATACCTTCTGAACTAAGTTGCGTTGTGCTGAGAACACTGAGCACTAAACTGTTGGGAGACCTTTGTCTAAGAAGACTGCGCTTCTGAAGTCAGGAGGTGCAGATGCTTTCCGAGTAGTTTGAGATCCTGTGAAGCAGCACAGCCTCCTTAATGATGAAATGTTGCCGTTTAATGCATCAGTAACTTATCAGCCCATGTTCACCACGTAACTGTACTGTATGTCGTAATGAAATGAGTATAACTCAGCTCTTTGGATAAGTTTCTGATTTCATAGTGAGTTTTTTTTTTTTTTAAATCAGTCGACTAGCTTTTGCAGAGACTTTGAACAGAACTCTCATTCACGTGTTTCCTCTAATGAAGTATTCTGTTCCTAGTCGTGGGTGTGCTGGGTGGAGTGTGTGAAACACGACGTGATCAAAGGATGAAGACAGTATTTTGACTAAATATAAGTGGAGATTAATTTACACTACATTGTACACAGAATAATTCAACTGAATAAAAAAGTGTCACGGGTAAAGATTTTTAAAGATTAATTTCTGTCAAATGCAGTAGATGAAGAAAGGTCGGTATTAAGTGTCTTTTCTTAAGCTTCTCCATTTTCCTATACTTGCCATCCCTCCCAGAATTGGGCATTTGATTCACTTTTGAACGGCCATTCCCATAGTTGCTAACTTAGTAAGTGCTTTTCTTATAGAACCCCTTCTTAATGAGCAATATGACTCCTACTTGTACTATAAATCTTTCTGATAATGCATCAGTTTTTTTGTAGGTTAGTAAAAGTGCATTCCTGTTTTCATGTTACTTTATTCAAAGCTAATAAGTGCTTTCCTTAGTTTTCTAGTAACTAGGTGTAAAAATCATGTGTTGCAGCTTTACAGTTTTTAAAATATTTTAGATATTCTTCAACTATGAACCTTCTTAACATCACTGTCTTGCCAGATTACCAACACTGTCACGTGACTAATACTGACCCTGTTTACCTCACACACACACACACACACACACGCTTCCTGTTGTGGCTTTGCCTAATGATGTTCCTTTGGGTCTGTGAGGTTCTGTAAACTGTGCTAGTGCTAACAATGTTCTGTACAACTTAAACTCACTGGCAAGAACACAATGTTGGACCTTTCAACCACTAGAACAAAATTTTTTAAATTGACAGTTGCAGAATTGTGCAGTGTTTTTACATTGATCTTTTGCTAATGCAATTAGCAGTATGTTTTGCATGTATGACTTAATAAATTCTTGAATCATATGACTGGTAATACTCGAATTTTTGAGAATTTGATGAACAAGCTCCTAGTGTGTTTATCTCACTTTAAAGTGGATTTTAAAATCCTGGATTGCTAGGTTTTCATTTTCACACTGGAGGGACAAAGGGAGTCACCTGTAGGGGAAAAGTGGGCGAGTCCATAGCTGAACCATACAGTGTGTGTGTGTGTTGGGGGGGGGGGGGGGGGGGAGTGGGGGTCATGTTTGGGCCTGTTGAATTGTTGCAAGCTGTCCATGTGGAGATAGGCATGCTGGGACATGTGTGTGCATGTGCGTGTGTCCTAGGCCAGAGCTCAGGGCCAATATCCCAGTGTTGAGAGCTTGGTAGGGTGGGGGGTGGACTACATCACCTCAACCCGTTATGTCTCAAACATACATAAAAAGTTGATGTTAGAATCAGTTTTCCTTGGGGCTGGGGATGTGGCTCAAGCAGTAGCGCGCTCGCCTGGCATGCGCGGGGCGCTGGGTTCAATCCTCAGCACCACATAAAAATAAAATAAAGATGTTGTGTCCACCAAAAACTAAAAAATAACTATTAAAAAAAAAGAAGAATCAGTTTTCCTTGAAAAGTCTTATATTTTTGAGTTTTCTTTCTTTTTTTAAACCAAAGGTAAGTAAGCAGTTTTTAAAGATAAAAGTTCTGAAAGTTTGTTACAAAGGACAGCAGTCTCTTATTCCCTTCATGCCCTCCAGAGGTAATACTCCAGGTTATTTTTGTAGTGCTGGGCACTGAACCTAGAGCCCTGTTTGCAAATGCTGTACCAATTGAAAATTTGATATTTACTACACACCTAAATTTATGCTTTTCCTGTTTGTTGAATCTTTCAGATATACTCCCATGGTGAAAGACTTGAGGCTCTCTCTCCTGACTGCAACCCTCCTCCTCAAACACTTCCCATTCTTGAAATACTGATTTTTTTTTTTAAGCATCTATGTGATTATTGCTATATAAACTAACTACTTCTATTTTTCCCTTGTAGTAACTCTGCCTTTCTTTTTTCCCCTTTTCCTACATTTTTGGGATAATGTTTAATTTGGTTTTCTGTGTACTTATTTTTTTGGGGTAGGGTCCTGGGGATTGAACTCACTGAGCCACATTCCCAACCCTATTTTGTATTCAATTAGAGATGGGATCTTACTGAGTTGCTCAGCACTTTGCCGTTGCTGAGGCTGGCTTTGAACTCAAGATCCTCCTGCCTCAGCCTCCTGAGCCTCCGGGATTACAGGTGTGGGCCAACACACCCAGCTTCTGTGTACTCACTAAAAGTTCAACTGTCAGCATCCATCTGTTGTCTGAGTCTCAAGATTTTCCTAAGTCTCAAAATCATTTGATGACATCCACCTCTTATATGTTGATCTTTTATTTCTTTCATCCTGATGAATAACTTCTCCAAGAGATTCCTGAGAACATGGGGGAAGGGAAAGTGTGTATTTTTGAGCCTTTACATCTTTGAAAATAGCCATTCTACTGTGATACTCATGGCCTGTTCTAAAATTTTAGATTGATAATTTATCTCATGCTTTCAGTTCAGATGTTCTTTAACTCTTCACTGTTTAGCTCTTTGGGTCAGTTTTGCGATGACAGCACTCTCTGGCCCCAGCTTCAGCTTGGGGTTGTTTGGAGCTTCAGCCTATGTATTCTTTGTCACTTCTGTTCTTGTTCCTCATTGGTAAGGGAGCATGTGGTGGCACTAGGGCAGCAAGTCAGTTCTCACCATCTGCCCCCACGAAGTGTAGAAACTTGTGTTTTGAGGCAAACCTGGCAGCAGTGGGGTACTCTTATGATATTTGTCCCCTTCTCCCTTCAGAAGGGGGATTGAACCCATGTAAACTTAAGAGACATGGCTGAGACAGCTAGGGGCCTACCTGAGCAAGGTCTCCAGAGGTCAGATTTGCCTGGCATGTTCTTCCCGATTGTCCAGGGAGTAGAGTGAGAAATGCTGAGGAAGGTCATTCCTTTTCCTCAACTGCTGATGCGCAGACCCCACCCTCTGCCCGAGAGCAAAGGGCCAGACCAGATTTTTCCTCCCCCTCAGACCCCTTGGACCAAGCTGTTTTCGCATCTGCTCAGTTCCTAGGAACCTGGGTGGTGAGCCAGCTAGCTCATCTTTCCTACTTGGGAATCTTTTTTTTTTTGGGTACCAGGGACTGAACCCATGGGTGCTTAATCTCTGAACCACATCCCCAGCCTTTTTTATTTAGAGACAGGGTCCAAGTTGCTTAGGGTTTCACTTGCTGATGCTGGCTTTGAACTCGAAATCCTGCCTCAGCCTCCTGAGCCACAGGGATCACAGGTGGTCACGGCGCTCGGTTGGGAGTCATTCTTGAGCCAACCATTCTTGTCTCTGGCTTTCCCCCATCCTTGTGGGTTTATGCTTTTCAGAGAAATTCCTCAACCATTTATTTATTGGTCTTGTGGGTGAAACGGAGTACTTGTGCATCTTTAATATTTAGCCAGAATGCCCAGAAAATGTAAGATTTCATTTTTGTTTACAGTAGGCAGAAAAAGCCAATACTTAAAACACAATTGCTGTAAAACAACTCAGTAAAGCGAACCTACCTGGAAATACTACTCATGGTGTGCAAGTACTTTATTTTTTAAACTTCTGAACCCACTGGCTGGCCTCAGAGCCAAAATAATACATGAGAATCAAACTATCAACTCTCACTGTTTAAACACCCAGGTGGTGTAAACACAGGCAGAGCCATAGGCTGAGGGAGCAGGAGTGGCCTTTGCTTACCTCCCGACCTGGCTCATCTTCATTTGAAGACAGAGCTCAGGGCTGCCCTTAGTACCCTGAGATATGGAAAAATAAACTATACACCTGTCATCCAAGTTCAGACCCACCTAAGTGGTGGCAGGACAAGACCCTGAGGGGGGAAGGCTACAGTCCATTTAGGGTCTTCAAATGCCGTTGGATTCCTGCCCTTTTGGGGCCGTTCTTAGGTGGCGTGGGTGGGGGAGCTGCTTCCACCTGGCTTCCCCACATTGCTGTCTTGGCAGCCCTGTAGTCTTGGCACGCTTCCCTGACTCCTGATCCTGCTGCCACTATGATCAAAAGTAGTTCCAACGGACTGTTGAGTCATCTTGAAGCTCATTAAATTGAGTACCCATCAGATTCCTGTCAGTGGGCATCCAGTGTACTGGCATCATGGAAGTTATTTGCGCATTAAGTTGGTTTAAGAATTAATGTGTGAATCCATTGTTCTGGGGCCATTTCCAGGATACCTGATTACACCACATCTGTATTAGAGACCCCTTGTCCTGGACAGGAGAGACAGGCTGCTCTGTCAGCCACCATGCTGTCCAAGGCTCTCATCAGGATGTCTGGCATGTGGTCTGTCAGCATCTTTGGGCCTATGAGTATTTTGCTGAATTCTGCTTCATGTGACCACCTTGCTCTATACCGAGCAGCAGCCCAGCAGCCAAACCTTCAACAGAGAAGAAAATACTAGCTAGTGAGCGTTTCTTGAGTTTGGTCTCCAGCACACGCTTTCTTCCCCTGGTGGTGAGTGCAGACCTGCACACCCTCACACTCACCTCCCTGAGTTGCCCTCTTCCTCCAGGTGGATGATCCTGCCAGGAGGATACAGAGGCGGGTACTTGGGTGAAGAGTCAAGTGGGGAATCACTGGAGGAGCTGTATGCTGGGGACCAGTGTGTCAGCAGACTCTGCTCCCCAAGAAGAGGCTGTGTCAGGTCTCCCTGGTCACCCCCATCCAGTTCGGTTGGGAAGTTATCAGGGTTCCCTCCAAACAGTTCGTACCAGCAGCCTTGAAGCAAGATCTTGTACTGAGGGCGAGAACCAAGACAGAACATTGGTCCTCTGAGGATTTGCCACCCTTACCAGAGGGATCTCACAGGACTGTTAGGTGGCAGCAACCCTCAGGTTCAGGAAGTCCTCTCAGCCAAACCACCCAAACCAGTGTTGGGTGCCTCTTGTGTGATAAAGCCAACATACTTGTAGCAATATTTAAAAACTATATTATGCATATTTTGATGAGAAAAATCACTTTTTATTTTGGTGGTGCTGGAGATGGGACCCCTGGGCCTTATGCCTTAATTCTTTTCATGAAATTTTGCAAATTAGTTTTACCCTGCCCTTAAAGATACTAGATACTAGTTTTTTTTTCTTTCTCTCTTTCTCAGGGTTGTGGGGAGCTAAAGATTGAACCGAGGGCCTTGCATATGCTCTTCCACTGAGCTACACCCCAGCCTTTAGAAACTACCTTCTAGGAAATTTGGAGAGGATGGCTGATACAAGGATAATTTAGTTTTTAATTAGCAACAAACCAAAAAAAAGTTGAAGAACTGAAGACACCTCTGCTGTGTGGGCTGTGATGAAAGGGGGGCCTCGGCTGTTCTTCAGGCACCTGAAGGCTATTTTTGCTAAAATCTCTGACTTCACTTGGGCCTACAAGTATCAAATGGGTGACTGGGATATGACCACTTGGCATCTCTGCCTTCATGTTGTGTCTTTCTCCTTTGCTGCCTTAATCTTTGGGTCAGATTTTACTCAGCTTTGCATATAGACATATTGATCATCTGAGAAATGTTTTGTCCAGAACTGTAAGGTTGATTTGACCTGAATTTGCCTAATGTCTGTGTCTGTCTCCCTACTCTAAGGCTAAAGACATATACCAGCTGCCATGATTGGAAAAACTGGACCATAAAAGGAACAAAAAGAGGTCTTTACCTAATCTCTTAAAAAAGTCATGTGTTCCTCCCCTTTACTACCCAGTCTCTCACCATCATTAATCCTATCTGTGTCTGTAACCCTGGCCCCCTTAAGTGGAGAAGCTGATTCATGAGCAAAGCTCCCTCTTTTTCATTCTTTGGCTACTGAATAAAGACTTATTTCTCCTGTCAAAAAAAGAAAAAAGTGGGCTGCGGTTGTGGCTCAGTGGTAGAGTGCTCGCCTAGCACGTGCGAGGCCCTGGGCTCGATCCTCAGCACCACATAAAAATATATTGTGTCCAACTACAACTAAAAAAATAAATGTTTAAAAAACAAAAGAAATGATCATCTGCAACTCCATTATCCAAATAAGATCACATTTTGGAATTTGGTGTATATATATATATATTTTTTTTTTTTAAGAGAGAGGAGAGGGAGGGAGGGAGGGAGAGGGAGAGGGAGAGGGAGAGGGAGAGGGAGGGAGGGAGGGGGAGGGGGAGAGAGAGAGAGAGAGAGAGAGAGAGAGAGAGAGAGAGAGAGAGAGAATTTATTTATTTATTTTTAGTTTTTCGGCGGACACAACATCTTTGTTTGTACGTGGTGCTGAGGATGGAACCTGGGCCGCACGCATGCCAGGCGAGCGCACTACCGCTTGAGCCACATCCCCAGCCCCTTGGTATATATTTTTCAAAATTTTTGTCAAAACCCAATCATACATGTCTATAAATAGCTCCTTGTCTCCTCCCTCTGCTTATATAATGTTCTCTCCTCTAAAATTAATTAATTTATTGCAGTACTAGGGACTGAATCCAGGGATACTCTACCATTGAGTTACATCCCCAGCCCTTTTTAGTAATTTTCAGACAGGGTCTGAATTGCCCAGGCTGGCCTCAAACTTGTGATCCTCCTGCCTCAGCCTTCTGAGATGCTGGGATTACAGGCATGTACCTGTTTTTTCAGTGCTGAGAATCAAACCCAGGGGTTGATGCATGCTAGGCAAGTGATCTACACTCCCAGCTTCTATCACTGTCTTTACAACTGCATAATATCTATAATGTGGACATAAAATCTGATTTAGCAGCCTTAAAATCTATTTTAAAATCTTATTTTCTTAACCACAGACAATATTACCAAAAGCACCAGAATAGTCACAAAACAGGCCTAGGAAGTCTGGCAGAAGGCAAAACACTTAACTAGAACAGGATTATTCTGTTACAGTACTTCCTAACTGGCATTTTGTGTACTTGCTTTGGTCATTTGCTTTCTTAGGTATCAAAGTCCTAGACAAAAATCTGTTCAGAGGGCAGCAACAGAATTTAGAGCAACAGCTTAAAGTGCCCTCCCTGAGGCTGAGTCCAGAGAGCTCCTGAGCTCCATAAGGCCTCTCCCTGCAGACCCTCATTAACACTGGTGCCCAGATTACCTTAGGCTTATTAGAGTGAGCAATCACTCGCAAGATCCTTTTCTTCAGATCTTCCAAGTTGGTCACACTTAACCTGTTTAGCAAAAGATGAGATTGAGACTCAGTACTCAGTATTTTCAACTACCCCAACCCACTGACCAACCATCCAGCACACTGACCTGGGAATCACATCCTTTCCCAGGACAAGTGACACAATGAAGTCCTTGGAGTACTCGTAAAGAGATTTGCTGAAAATTTTAAACGAGAGATGCCAAGTCAGTCTTCTGCAGTTTCAGAGAGAAAAAAGCAACACTGCCAGGTCAGTGGGAGGTTGGTATAGCTTTTCTCTGTCCTCCAGGGGGGAGAAGTGGCTTGAGCCAAAGCAGCTCTCGCCAGGTTCTATTAGAGCCACACGGACATTCAATGAAGACTCCACAGCAAAGCGTCAGATTGGATCCAGAGAGCAGACCAAGGTACACGTTGACCTTTGGCCCTGCCACCCCACCTAGCAGAAGCTACCTAAGAATGTAAGAGGCAAGAATGTAAGAGGAGAGGCAGAAAGCTATTCATTGTGGTGCTACTTGAAAAGCAGAGGCTGGTCACCACCCAAACATCTGTCCACAGAAAACTGGGTCCAGCCTATAACCGTCCACATGAGTTCTCTACTGCCGTGAGACAGGGTTCTGGGTACTGTTATGGTGCACTCAAAGATTATGCTGTTGGGGCTGGGGATGTGGTCAAGCCGTAGCGCACTCGCCTGGCATGCGTGCGGCCCGGGTTCAATCCTCAGCACCACATACAAAGATGTTGTGTCTGCTGAAAAACTAAAAAAAAAAAAAAAAAAAAAAAAAAACTAAAAAATTCTCTCTCTTTAAAAAAAAAAAAAGATTATGCTGTTGAAGTTAAAGGAATAAAAATGAGGCACAAGAGCAGGTATAATAGCTGCCTTTAAGAAGAGGGCCGGGGCTGGGGCTCAGTGGCAGAGCGCTTGCTTAGCACTTGTGAGACACTGGGTTTGACCCTCAGCACCATATAAAAAAGTAAATAAAAAAAAAAAGTTGAAGAAGATATGCTTGATATATGATAATAATGAAAAGTAAAAAATCAGACATAGTTACTTCTGGAATGAAAGAAAGGACATTTTTGAGGGAACAGGATGGAAACTAAATTTCTCTGAAGGTATCTGCTCTGTAGGGTTGTCTCTGGAACCATGTTAACATTTTGTTAATGTAATAATTAACATAATTAGAACATAATCAAATAACACAAATAATCTCTAAAATCAAAAGCCAAATGAGATACATGAATCAGTTATTTCAAGTGACTTTAAACAACTGCAATTTGATCGTATATCCCTAGCAGGGGTAGATTCTATGAACAAACTAACTGCAAAGAACTCTGGAGCTACTTCTGATACTCACACTGTTGGAAACTACATTAGTGTTACTATTCTCAATCCCTGATCTCTGTGTTTATACACACACACAGGAGAAGGGTTTGAACAAAACCATTTCCTGCCTCTTTCTGCTAAAAGGAGCCGCAACTGACCCTGCATTAGTCCTGTTTCCCACAATAGGAACTGACACTCCTTGAAGTATGATTGATTCCAAATTTGAACAGAGAAAAAAAACATTAAGGCCATTTTAAGCCCAAAAGTTTAGGAGAGTTTGTTTTATCAGAAAGTTGAGAAAACTAGCCAACACCTGGGGTTGGTCAGAGGCTGGAGAAACCAATCTGAAGGGACTCCCCGTGGCTGTGGCCGTGGCCAGGACAGCTCATATGTTGACAGGCTAAGGAGTCAATGTGGCCAGGGACTGTTTCCCAGCAGTGCTAGGTGGAAAGATCCCAGCATTTATGTATCTCTCTTGAATTTCCTGTATGAACTACGTACCTCAAAGTAAGCGATATTTGCAGATAGGTTTTTAAATTTTCAACTAATTAAC